TATATATATATAAAATAACTCTCTCAAAATGTGTTACATCACAATTTTTTATTTTTTAAAATATGTAACACCCAGGAAATATGAAAACATGTGCGTAGTATATCCATGACTTAAAGTTTTTTTAAAAGCAAAATTTTCTCTGTTAAAAATGTAACTTGGGAAAGGAAAAAGACTTAATGAATGTAGTTTTCAATGAACTAATACCAGAGCCACTTTAGATAGCTGAGTTCTTTTGGTATCTCTGTTGAATAGGCTTTCTAGTAGGTAACTTTTACCAACCAAAATTGGAATGGCATTGTAAGTCATTAGTATACTAATAACTGGTTTCATTTTTGGTGATTGTGAAGGGGAATTGGCAGAATTATATCCATTTGAAATTCATCTTTAACTTGTACTTTATCGTTATCTACATTATCTCTAGTCAGTTGAACTATATTTTTACTTTTGAAACTTATATCCTATCTTCTTTTTAAAGGCTTGAAGAGGTTTCCAAAATACAGAGCCTTTAATGAAGATATCAAAGTTAAAATAGCACAGAAGTACGTGATTGCGGACAACTCAGGTTAGCAAGTAAAGCTTAAACTACAAATTGGGTTTTTAAGAAAGTCTGTATGAGGAATGGTGTTTCCTCAGGCTTTAAGAAGAATGAAAAATACCAGAGATCATAATGGTATATCTTCATGAAGTAAAGGCACAACATAGTCTAGGGACATTGGTTTCTGATAGATCTATCTGTAGAGCTAGAACTAGAGAGCTAGATATGTAATTAATAGCCAAGCCAGCCCTGGTGTGGTGCTGTAGGATAAGCACTAGACTGCTAACCACAAGGTCAGTGGTTCAAACCCACCAGTCACTCCCTGAACACTATACAGGGTTGCTATTGGTTGGAACCAAGTTGATGGCACTTAAAAACAAGACAGCCTCAGATTGTCATATATGCCTTCATTGACCTATAAACCCCACCAAACCTAAGCCCACTGTCATTGAGTTGATTCTGACTCATCAACCCTATAGGACAGCAGAATAGACCTGTCTAGGGTTTTCAAGGCTGAAAATCTGAAAAGTGGATTGTCTCCATAGAGTGCTGGTGAGTTCAAACCACCAACTTTACAGTTAGCAACTCAGCACTTAACCACTGTGCTACCATTGACCCTTAGATGAATATTAACCCATTGTCACAGAATTGTCCAATCAAAGGCCCTTTGTTGCCTTAAGTTATGTTTTAAAAAACAGTTGCCATTAGTCAATTCTGATTCAGGGCTACCCTTATGAGTCAGATCTATGCCGCATAGGGGTTTTCAATGGCTGATTTTTCAGAAATAGATTGCCAAGACTTTCTTCCAAAGCATCAAGCGCACTCAACCATCCAAGCTTTTAGATAGCCAAGCATGTTAAACA